ACCACCCACGGAGGGTGAGAGGGGAATTTTTTTTTTCACACACACACACTTTTGTCATAGTACCCCCAAGAATTTAAAACTACTTTCACAACCTGATTGTAGTTGACTGCAGCTGCAGCTAGACCTTGCTATATATACAGTTTGAAACCATGACAATACATGTATATCTATCTAGTTATCATTGAAAACAACTGAATGACTTATTTTCGTCATAACTTGTCGCATATGCTGAAATGACAGCTCCTCTGACGGTCGGACTTCTTGCAGGTTTTTCAGTTGTCGTTTTGACTGAGTAGCTGCTGTATCGTTGGTAGTGTGTGCTGCTTTACCTGCTGTCTGCTTTTTTCCTGCGGTGAGCCTCGATGTAGCCATGCTCCATCAAGTGTTTGTTTTTTAAATGTCATATTAGAGCATATTAGAGTGGTTTTGTTGATGCATTTAGACGTGCTTCACCCCCAAATTTTCCGCCGCAACATGCAAACTTCCCCCATTCACTCTCAGAGCATTATAGTTCCACACAACAGTGCTTAAGATTTACTACTGTGTGATTACGCAGTGTGAAGAAAAGAGATAAGCTGCACATGCAAGCTGCGAAGTGAGATGCAGGTGATCGTCAACAAGAGACAGTGATTGATGATCGCCAATCATACACTTTCTTACGGAAATCAGCTGATTATGATCGGTGGCCGATCGATCAGCACACCTCTGCTAACTAACCAAATTGTACAAACGAAAACAATTCCAAGAGTACAATATCTTCTTGTTAATACTGTCAAGCTTCAACAACAAGGTGCAAAAACAGGGCAAGGGGAAGAGAGCTACAAATAGTCATGCAGGATGACAGAAAGGGCAGAAGCAAATCATGGTCTGTCTCATTCTAACTGCGTGTGTGCGTGTGCGTGTGCTGTGTATTTGATGCGTTGTGGGGCCCATTTTCCTGACATATTACACTGTGGAGACACACTGTGCCTGGTGGGGACTGAAACCTGGTGCCCACAAGGGGAAATTATGTTTTTGGATGTAGGCTTAGATTTAGGACTAAGGCGTGAATTGAGTTTTGGTTAAGGGTAGTGGGCTAGGCTGTAGAACTGCATGGAAGTCAATGGAAAGTCCCCACAAAGATAGCGTGACAAACGT